CTGCTGTGGTTGAAGCTCAGCTTCACTTGTCCTTGGTAGAGATGGACACAATTCACATACATATCTATCTGGAGGATGACTCTTGAAATTTGAAGTCTCTTTCTGCTCACCTCTCCTTAACAATTTCCTACTCAGATTATTTTCCCTTAGACTGAATGAATGCAACTCCACACTCATCACTCATTTCCCTTTTCTTTTGAGGTCTCTTTCAGAGTTAGCTTTAATTAGCAAGCTCCAAACTGACTGGCTGGGCCAAAGAGGGCTGGAAGCTGCTGAGTTGTTAGGGGTTGGATGAGGACTGAGGGAGGACACAGAGTGAGTAGAGAAGGCTTCACATACTGGGAAATCTGGCTGGGCTTCAAGAGAGGGGGTTGGTGGTGGTGTGGCTAAGTTCCAAATGTTGGCCTGAAGCCAGTGCTCAAAGAAAAGGGGCCCTCAAGACAGTCTAAATGGCTCCCTTTGGTGAGTGACCTCCTAGTCCTTCTCAAGTGTAAGGGTTTCTTTTGGACCCTCAAAGACCGGAGCAGTCAAGCTGTTTCCCCACTGAATTCCCTCCATCACATTTATGTTCTTTTCCTCCCAGCCACTCCCATAGTTCAAGCTTTGACTACAACCAGAATTCAGAGGCAGGCAGAAGGATTCTAGTGCTGGAGAGGCAAGTGAAGTGAAAAGTCCTCACGGTGTGCGTGTTGGGATGGAAAAGCCTGACCCTGGGACATAAGCTCCAAGCCTCTGTTGCCAGATGAGGTGGAGGGAGAAGGTAGCCCTGAAGTGTGTGTTCTAGAAGTGTTTGCTTGTAAGCTAGAGACAACAGGTGCAAAAAGTGTGATTTGAGGGAGTTGAAAAATACTGATCTCAAATGGAAGGGAAGAAGATGTTAAAAAGGGAAGGAGCTAGAGAAAACCTCAGCTTCCACTCATACAGGAGCTAAAGGGCTAAAATCTTGGCTGGATCTGGGCATTTCTCAACTTCCAAAATTTTGGAAATTTTTATAAAAAATATTAATCTTTCATTTTTAAATTAAATTAAATTTATTTTAAAAATTTAGTTTCTCAGTCATACTAGCCACATTTCTTTTTCTTTTCTTTTCTTTTTTTTTTTGAGACAGAGTCTCACTCTGTTGCCCAGGCTGAAGTACAGTGGATTAATCTATTCCATGGAGTGGAGTGGATAATCGATTCCATGGATTATCATTTTACTTTGTTAATGGTATCCTTAGAAGCACAAAAAATTTTAATTTTTTTTTTTTTTTTTGGAGACAGAGTCTCACTCTGTCCCCCAGGCTGGAGTGCGGTGGTGCTATCTCTGCTCACTGCAGCCTCCGCCTTGTGGGTTCAAGCGATTCTTGTGCCTCAGCCTCCTGAGTAGCTGGGATTACAGGCGTGTGCCACCATGCCCGGCTGATTTTTGTGTTTTTTTTTTTTTTGAGATGGAGTCTCGCTCTGTTGCCCAGGCTGGAGTGCAGTGCCACGATCTCTGCTCATTGCAAGCTCTGCCTCCCGGGTTCACACCATTCTCCTGCCTCAGGCTCCCGAGTAGCTGGGACTACGGGTGCCCACCACCACGCCTGGCTAATTTTTCGTATTTTTAGTAAAGACGGGGTTTCACCGTGTTAGCCAGGATGGTCTTGATCTCCTGACTTCGTGATCCTCCCACCTCGGCCTCCCAAAGTGCTGCGATTACAGGCGTTAGCCACTGCGTCCAGCCTGATTTTTGTATTTTTAATAGAGATGGATTTTTGTCATATTAGCCAGGCTGGTCTCAAACTCCTGACCTCAAGTGATCCGCCTCCCTCCCTCCCAAAGTGCTGGGATTACAGGTGTGAACCACCATGTCTGGCTTGGAAATTATTTTGAAATAATTATAGAGGAAGTTGCAAAAATAGTACATGAAATCTTGTGTACCTTCACTCAATTTCCCCTAATGATGACATCTTATATAACTATAGCACAAAATCAAAACCAAAAAGTTGATATTGGTACAGTATTGTTAACTGGCCTGCAGGCCTTACTCAGTTTTCACCATTTTTTACATGCATTTATTTGTTTGTTTGTAGTTCTGTGCAGTTTTAAATCATGTATAGATTTGGATAATCACCACCATAATCAAGATACAAAACCCATTACCACAAAGGAACCCCCTTGTGCTATTCCTTTGTATTTGTCCCCACCCCCCTCCCTCCTTGTCCCCTGGCAACCAGTAATCTGCTCTTCATCTCTATAGTTTTGTCATTTTGAGAATGATATGCGAGTGGAATAATACAGTTTCAGCATTTTTCTGTTTGGAGACAGGGTCTCACTCTACCACCCAGGCTGGAGTGCAGTGGCAAGATCACGGCTTATTGCAGCCTTGACCTCCTGGGCTCAAGCGATGCTCCCACCTAGCCTCCTGAGTAGCTGGGACCACAGATTTGACTAATTTTTGTATTTTTTGTAGAGATGGGGGTCTCCCTATGTTGCCCAGGCTGGTCTCCAACTCCTGGGCTCAAGTGATCCTCATGCCTTGGCCTCTCAAAGTGCTGGGATTACAGGCATAAGCCACTGTGCCCAGCTCAGCATTAGTTTTTAATTTAACTAATTCCTAAGTTCTTGACTGAAATACAAGAAGTTCTCTAACAGTTTATTTTAATATTGAGCTTACCCCATTCTCTGGATCCTTCTAGTTTCTTTTTTTTTCTTTTTTTCGGTGATGGAGTCTCCGTCACCCAGGCTGGAGTGCAGCGGTGCCATCTCAGCTCACTGCAACCTCCACCTCCTGGGTTCAAGTGATTCTTGTGCCTCAGTCTCCAGAGTAGCTGGGATTACAGGCATCCACCATCACACCCGGCTAATTTTTGTATTTTTAGTAGAGACAGGGTTTCACCATGTTGGCCAGGCTGGTCTTGAACTTCTGATCTCAGGTGATTCACCTGCTTCGGCCTCCCAAAGTGCTGGGATTACAGGCATGAGCCACCGTGCCCGGCCCCCTCTAGTTTCTTAATTTCCCTCTTCACCTACAATATTATCTTCCACTCCAACATTCTGGTCTCATTTCTCCTTGAGAGAAATCTACATGTCTAAATTTACTAGGCTGGTCTAGCGTGCTCTTGTGTGTTCCCCTCCCTCCCTTGACCCTCTATTTATAGCCAGGCTAATTTTGGGTGGCCTCTCTCTCTCTTCTTTCCTGATCTTTCCTCCTGTGGTGGTGAGGTGACTTCTCAAATATTTGGGCAGAGGAGGTCAGAAGCAGATTCTTGGCATCTGATTTCAGCCCTCGATCACAGAAGCCAGTGGAGTGGGAATGGAGGCAGGCAGAAGCTGCAGGTGCTGATAGGAGGCAGCTTGGGCTCTAAAGGCATTTTGAGCTGGGGTCGGGGAGGCCTGGGCAGGGAGTCAGTAGTCCCCGTTCTATCCTGATTTTGCAATTCTGCATTCCCATGTCAGCTCTTCTCTACTATCTGGGGCTCTGAGATATTAAAAAGAATGGGGAGGGCGTGGTGAAAGTAGAATCCTGGTGCCAGCCCTGCTGACAGCATATGTATTTCCTTATAGTACCTGTTTAGAGATGTGTTAGTGCTCTGGAGGGGATATCTACAGGTGTAGTATTGGAAAACAGAGGGCCAGATTTCCAAATGTCTGTTAACTTATCCAAGGCAAAGACTGTCCCAGGGCCAGCAGAGTGAGAATCCAGTTTTTTTTTTTTTTTTCCAAAGAAATACAATCCTGAACAATGAAGTAGGAGAGACAAAGAGAACACAGGAAGAGGAAGGAGGTAGGACACATACTGGAACTTTTCAGAAAGGGAAGGAGAAGAGAGAATCATAAGAATATGATAGTGTTTGAGGGGCAGAGACAACATTAGAAACATTGAGAAATACTCTGAGAAAGATTCCAAGTGTGACAGAGACAAGAATGATGACAAAATAGAATTTGGGATGAGACAAAATCAGATAGTGAGAGAGAGAAGGGAAGATGGACAGATGTATATTCACAAGACCAACACCAGTAAGCAAGAGGAGTAGGAAGGGGAAGTGGGAGCAATTGAGGTTCCCATTATGCCAAATTATATCCTGTCTCTCCTCCTGGCCCCATTTCTTTATCGGAGTAATAAATAGCAGAGAGTTGGAAAGTGTCCCACCACCCCCTTGCCTCTGTCCCGGCCTGAGGGAAAGGGAGAGGAAGAGGGACAGGCCATTGGGTCCCTGTGGAGATCCCATCTCAGCCCCACCCAGGTCCTCCTGAGCCAGCCCACGACTCTGCCCCCTCCCATCCCCTTTCATGGATACGAAATGTGCAGTCCTGGGAAGGGTCTGGTAGCTGGGGACACCCTTCACATCCCTCTGCCTCTCGGGTCCAGTCTCTTTCATCTTTGCATTCTTTGACACCCCCTCCCCTCCCCACTGCTTAATTTCCTCTTCCTGTAATCATCCCCAGTCGTTTTCTTTTCTCCTTTCATTCCATCCCTTGTCAATTAACCTCTTGCCCTTCTTTCTTCCTCTCCATTCCTTCCTTTTTTCCATTTCTCCATTTGCTCCCCATATCTCCCGAGTTTTTCTCTCTCTTCTTGCCTCTTTTTCTCTGTTCCCTTGAATCCTGACGATGTGGCTAGCACTGCCGTGGTCATTACCGGGCTGGGGGCGGGGGATGGGATAGGATGGGGGAGGGCAGCGATCTGATCCCAACAGCAGAAAGAGTGCTCTATGTGACCATGGGGAACAGGGAGCACTAAGATGCCACGCTGGACCCAGGTCCAGGACCGCTCCTCTTACGTTTCCTCTCTCTCTGCAAATTTCTCTTCCCAGGTTGTCTTCTAGCGTCTTCCCACTTTTCATCTCTTACCCTCCTTCCTCTGTTTCCGCCCCTCTCTTTCTATCTGTGCTTCTCTCCCACCGCATTCCAAGGCGCCGCCTCCACCACTCCCGGGCTGGGGATGGGATCGGGGGGAGAAGGGGAGGAGAGCGCCACGCAGGGGCGGAGCCGGAGCCGGTGCTGGGCTGGGGGGGCGTGGTGGTGGGGGGTCAGCAAGGCTAGTTTCCACCCCAGCCACCAGCCTGGGCATTCCCTTGGCGACGCGTTTGGGTCTCCACCTGCTGCGGGAACGAGGGGCGGGGCAGGGGGCGGGGCCTGCGCGGTGTTCCCGGGAGAGGAGGCGGGAGCTGGAGTGGACGCCCGAGCTGCGGCTGCTGTAGTTATCCTAGCCCGTGCTGGGGCGGCGGAGCGGCGGGAGGGAAGGCTGGCGGGGCGAAAGACTGGGAAACCTCTGAAAGACCAACGAGACTTCGGAGACCAGAGACGCGCCTGGGGGGACCTGGGGCTTGGGGCGTGCGAGAGTTCCCTTGCACTCGCTGGGAAAGCGCGCGGGGATCGTCCCATGGCCGGGGCTCGGAGCCGCGACCCTTGGGGGGCCTCCTGGATTTGCTACCTTCTTGGCTCCCTGCTCGTCGAACTGCTCTTCTCACGGGCTGTCGCCTTCAATCTGGACGTGATGGGTGCCTTGCGCAAGGAGGGCGAGCCAGGCAGCCTCTTCGGCTTCTCTGTGGCCTTGCACCGGCAGTTGCAGCCCGGACCCCAGAGCTGGTGAGTCACCGCACCCGCCCGGAGTCCCCATGCTCCAGCCACAGATCGTCGTCCTCCCCACTCTGCGGGGCACCTCATTTCTCTGTCTTCCAGCCCCACCAGGACCTTGACTGCCCACAGACATCTCGCACCCCAACCTGGAGTCTTGCCTCATCTGACTTGGGTCTGAAGCTGCACTTCCCGGCACTGAGACCCAGGATTTTGCCTTAGGGATGAGTTGGAAAGGAAGGTTCTTGTCTTGGCAGCGAACCATCTCCTTCTTCTGGGCCTTTCCCCCAACTTGCATCCTTGATCCAGCCCCAGGGCCTCTGGCTCCCCTGCTTCTTCCAAGGGCTGGATTCCCCAAGGGAGGGAGACTGTCTGTCTCTGCTTAGAATAGGAGGAGATGGAAAGGACATAGAGGTTGAGGGTGCCATGAGAGGGCTGCATGCAGGGCAGACTCCAGAAATAACTTCCTGCCAGAGCATTGCCATGGATGGAATGAGGGCAGCAGGGCACTGGAAGGCCAGGAGAGAGCTTCCACTTCTGTGGTTTAAGACCATGGGAAGATTGGGAGAGGATCTGCAGGTCTGGCAGCCTGCAGTAGGTGGCTTGGTGATAGACAGTGGCAGAAAACTGAGCCCCCAAAGTACTAGTAGCAGTAGTAGTAGTAGCCGCAGCAGCTGTAACAGTGAGAGAGATCCAGGAAGGATGCTGGCCAGGCTGCTCCCCTTTCTCCTCTTTAGCAAATTTCCAGCTCCAGGAATCTCAGTAGCAGGTCAAAGACAGGAGGAGTAAGGGGTGGAGGACAATTCTAATTCTTTCTAATCAGTTCAGGACCCGTGGGAGATGGATATACTTTTGTGAGGGGCCTGTGACTGGTCATGTTGCCTGTATCCTTGGCTCTCGCTACATGTCCGATTGTAAAAAGAGAGGCCAGAGATGAAGAAAGCTTCTCACCCGCTCCTGCTAGGGGGCTTTTCTCTCTCCAACCAGTGCCTAAGCCACATTAAGTATCCATTACTGGGATCAATGCTGTCCACTGGGACTGTCTTCTCCCTCTACTATTGGTCTGGGGGCAGGGGGCAGAGACAAGAGCTCATTTCTCACTTGCTTGGGGAGTGGGGGCCTAGCTCTGATCTTTCTTCCTCCATTATCCCTATCATCTGGTAGCAGGGGCTGTGGTCCCCAAAACTTTGGGAGAGATAGAAAGCAATGGACTTCATCTCCTCTTCTATTTACCATCTGCTTCCTCATTCACCTTTGCTCCCTTCCTCCCTTCCTCCCTCCTTCCCCCATCTGCCAGAGTTCGAGGACTGGAGACCTTTTTAGGACATGCTGAACTCTCTAAGCTATTTCCAGGCAAATTCTAGGTTATTTTTAATAGCTTGGTCTCTTGTCATTTCCCCCTCCTCTCTGAAGGTGGCCCCTGATTCTGTCTCCCAGAGCCAAGCTGGGGGCATTCCCAGAGGGCCTGACTGCCTCACCCTGCTTTTGCTCCAGCAGGGGGTGCTCTGCTGCCCGGGGCGGGGTGGGGGGGGGAGTGAGGGAGGGGGGCATGTGAGAGGCCAGGCACCTGCTCAGTCCGTAGCTTTTTAGTTGCAGGTTGCCTGCCTTAGCACGCCCTGATGAAAACAACTTCTTGCCTGTTTTGATGTCTTTTAGTCTAGCTCTGGGATGAGACTTTGAGGTCTAACCTTTGCTGTGTGGTTCCAGCCTCATTTATTTCCTTCAATTGTAAAATGAATATAAACAATAGTATTACTACATACAGTTGTTGTGCAGATTGAGTTCTTAATATATGTAAAATGCTTAGAATAGTGCATAGCCCGCAGTGAGTGCTGTGAAAGTGTTAGTAGTACTGCTATTCTTGTATTGTGATTCACAGAGCGCTTTACAGAGATTCTGGATCCAAAGGCTTGGCTAGAGGGCCTCCCCTGCTGAGCCAGCCTTCCAGGCCAAGCATCCTCTCCAGAGGGCCACCCAGATTGAGAGGGGCCAAAGAGGGGCTGGACTTGGGCTGGGGTGCTGGAGTGTATGGAGAATCGAGAAGTGCGGTGGTCGTGGGCTACTCCTTTGTCTTCACTTAGCTGAGCTCCCAGGGAGTCCCTCTGCCCCCAGCTGCCAACACTTTTTTTTTTTTTTGCCTTTCTCTCTGCAGTGGCTGCACTGTGGCTGTCCAGAAGCCTGGGGTGGTTAGGGCTTATGGCATGAGGTCAGGAAGGAGTGTGTGTGTGGCTGGACCACAGGTGGAGGGACTAGAGAGGCTGCGGCTGGGTGCTCTTGTTCCACTAGGGATCGAGTGGTCTCTTCTCCACCAAGAGCGGACTGGGCATATCTGTGCACTCAGCTTCTTTCCTCCACATGGGCTCCTCCCCTCCTCCCTACTTTTGGCCTCCAGAGGAGATGTGAACATAGAACAAAGTTAACTTGTCTGGGTGCTTAGCTATGCACTGACCAGCTGTGACACTGGATATCTCTATGAGTCCACAAAATGTGTGTGTTCAGTAAAACACATCCTGACACTCCCTATGGGGCAAGCACAAAGATGAAAAGACAGCCCCAACCCTCAGTGAGATGGTCACCTCTATATTTGGAGGTTGGGGGGACTGCTGACTTGCCTGAAGGTTGCCGTTTATTTGCACAGGGCTGTATCACCTCGTTTCATTTTCTGCCCAGGGTACCCTCATCTCCCCTCTCCCTTCTTCCCTTTCTGGGGTGGTCTCAGTGTTCTAGAGACAGGTCAGTCACTGAGTGGAATGACAAAGTATTGGAGTTAGGCCCATGTGGATTTGAATTCCAGCATCACTGCTTAGTGTCTTTGAGTGAGTTTCCTCATCTGAAAGACAAGAAGAGAATCCTTATCTCGTAGGACTGTTGTGATGATTAAATGACATAATGCATGTGACTTGCCTATCCTGGTGCTTGGCACATATGTGGACAGTGATGAATGTTAGTTTTTCATATCCCTGGTGTCTAGCTTCGGATCTGACATCATAGTAGGTGCTGAATAAATATGATTTCCTTGTCTCACCAGCACCTGACACAGGGCTTGGCATATGATAGACTCTCAATAAGTAGTTGAATGTCAAATGTGTCTTCTCGTCTCTACTACTCCCTATACCCCTTCTCTCTGTTGACACTGGTTCTGACAAGGGATGGCAGCTGCTAAGAGACGAGGAGGAGCTGTGGGAAGGAAGAATGGTTCTCTGCCCTCCCCCTCCACCCCAGCAGACCTGGCACAGTGTCCCACAGATGCCTATCTGTAATACTGCCTAACATGGTTTTGGGCTTTGCCCCCCCAGGAAGGGAGATGGAGGAGAAGAGTGTGGGAGAGAGGCCTTGAGGTTTGTGCCACTGCCACTTCTGAGTCTCTCCTTCTGCAAAGAGAGGACACATGGAGCCAGCTGGGTGTCAGTCGTCTCACCTCATCCCAGCCTTCACTCTGGCCTGGGGCTTCAGCCCCGGGGGACCCAGGCAGCCTCCATTCCCAGCACAGTGCTTCCCTGGGGAAGACGTCTTGGCTGTGATCATGGAAAATTGTCCTGCCAAGAAAGTTATAGTTGGGAAAGAGGCTGAGGGGGAGGCAGGAGAGAAGACTGGGTGGGGGTGAAAGGGAAGGAGAAATCATAGACATGGGGAGAAGGAAGGATGGGGAAGGGGATTCAGGATGTCGGGAAGAGAACGGGGTAGCACTGGACTCAGAAGGAGAAACTTGTCCCTACCTCCATGCCAGCCAGAGTGACTGATCGAATCCTGGGTTGGCACAGCTTCTGGGAGATGAGGTCTTTGCTGGGTCCCTGATGAGGGGGAAGTGGATCTGTATCTAGCCTTTTGCCTGTCCTCTGAAGCTGGTCCCTGAGCCACAGTCAGATGCCGGTGTGGGGCCCTGTTACTTTTGCTCCCAGCATTCTTGGTATTTCTGGCTGGGTTTCAACTAGACTGGGTTGGGGGAGCAGGGCAGAGCTTGGGGATGGGGCCAAGGAGGGGGTAGGGAAGGCCTACTCAGGAACAGGTGCTGGGAACAGGCGGTTCTTTCAAACCAGCAGTGCTGGCCTGGCTGCTCGGGTTGGCGTGTGTGTGTGTGTGTGTGTGTGTGTGTGTGTATCTACTGTGCATGTTGATTCCTCATCCAGCTGGTATGTACATGCAACGTGATGACTGCATGACCAAGTATATTAATTTGTCCTTGCCAGGGTTTGAGAAAACTGACATTTGCCCCTTCTCTTTAGTCCTTGAACACTCTCTTTAGTACTGAGGGGTTGGGCCTGGGCAGCAATAAGGAGGTTGGATCATTCTGACATCTAACTCCTGTCCCTGTCCCTGCCCCATCTTGTAGGCTGCTGGTGGGTGCTCCCCAGGCCCTGGCTCTTCCTGGGCAGCAGGCGAATCACACTGGAGGCCTCTTCGCTTGCCCCTTGAGTCTGGAGGAGACTGACTGCTACAGAGTGGACATCGACCAGGGAGGTGTGGCCCTGCATGAGCGGAGTAGGGGAAGCGTGTGAGCGGGGAGGAGAGGACTTGGGCTCCTCTTCCCTCCCCTAATTCCCAGTGTTCTGCCTCCAGCTGATGTGCAAAAGGAAAGCAAGGAGAACCAGTGGTTGGGAGTCAGTGTTCGGAGCCAGGGGCCTGGGGGCAAGATTGTTGTGAGTATTGCTTCTCATGACTGAATGCAAGGATGGTGTGTGTGTTTGTGTGTGTGTGTGTTTATGGTGTGTGCATATGCACAGGTGTGCTTAGAGAACATAAGTTAGGAATATGGTATGATACCAAGTACATCAGGGAGATATAAAAAGGTGTGAGGCCTGGTCCTTGTCCTTATACATGTAAAAACGTCTGTCCATTCATTCATCCATCCATTTGTCAAAGTCTTACTGAGAACCTTTTAAGCATCAGGCATTGTGCTAGTTACTACAGGGGAAGGCTGAGCTTGGTGGCTCATGCCTGTAATCCCAGCACTTTGGGAGGCCGAGGCAGGTGGATCACTTGAGGTCAGAGGTTCGAGACCACCCTGGCCAACATGGCGAAATCCTGTCTCTACTAAAAATACACAAAAATTAGCCAGTCGTGGTGGCAGGTGCCTGTAATCCCAGGTACTCGGGAGGCTGAGGCAGGAGAATCACTTAAACCTGGGAGGAGGAGGTTGCAGTGAGCTGAGATCACACCCTCGCATGCTAGCCTGGGAGACAAGAGCAAAATTCCGTCTCAAAAAAAAAAAAAAGGCCGGGCTCTCTGTTTCTCACTCTCGCTGTGTCTTTCAGTAAGACGCACAGACACACAGTTACCAATACAGATCACTGTGGGGCAGAAGCTGGTTAATGTTAAGTGAGTGGTCTAGTCTCCAGTCTATAAAAATCCAAAGAAGGAGTAGAGAGAAGACTTCTGCAGATGGGGTGATTGGAGCCAGGCTTTAACAATAGGTAATACCTAAGCTGTGCAACATAGTGGGACCTCATCTTTACAGAAAAGAGAAACAAATTAGCCAGTCATGGTGGTGCATGTCTGTAGTCCCAGCTACACAGGAGGCTGAGGTGGGAGGATCACTTGAGCCCTGGAGGTCGAGGCTGCAGTGAGCCATGATCATGCCACTGCACTCCAGCCTGGGTGACAGAGTGAGACCTTACCTCAGGAAAAATAAAAGAGTAATGCTTGGAGAGTGAAGAGGACAGCAAGTTCTTTGCAGAGGAGGTGCTAACACTTACAAAGCTCCAGGGACAGGGCCAAGCTTGGCATTTTGGAGGACTGTGAAATGATCAGGGAGACACACATCCTATGTGGTGGCTTAGTCATGTCTCTTGGCTCCAGGCAGAATGTGGAACAAGGAGATGTCCATTTGAGGGCAAGGAAGTGGGTGCAGACAGGTTGCTGGGTTATGCATGGACCTTCGTAACATTGGCAGGGTAATGGTGCTTGAGTGGTGCCAGCATAGCGGTATGTGTGTGTATGTGTGCATGTGCGTGTGCGTGTGAGCACACACGTATCAGTGTCTGCCAAATCTCTGCATGTGGGCAGCATGCCTCAAGCAGGTCCCTGGCCCACAGAGTGAAATGATCCCCATCTCTTGCTCCCCTAGACCTGTGCACACCGATATGAGGCAAGGCAGCGAGTGGACCAGATCCTGGAGACACGGGATATGATTGGTCGCTGCTTTGTGCTAAGCCAGGACCTGGCCATCCGGGATGAGTTGGATGGTGGGGAATGGAAGTTCTGTGAGGGGCGCCCCCAAGGCCATGAACAATTTGGGTTCTGCCAGCAGGGCACAGCCGCCGCCTTCTCCCCTGATAGCCACTACCTCCTCTTTGGGGCCCCAGGAACCTATAATTGGAAGGGTGAGTCACTCCTCGGGGAGGGGAGAAGGGGACCGAAACCTCCTCTTACCTGGGAGACATGGCCAAGCATGACCACATGTGCACTGCTGTATGGCCCCAGGGCACTGCCATGCCTTCCACCCCCACTGAGCTAGTGCACACGTGACTGGGGGGTGCCTCCTTTCCCTTGCACGGCCAAGTGTTCCTCAACGTGCTGGCATGGGCCCCAAGTGCACGCTGGGCCTGCAGCTGGGGCCTGCATGCTCCAACACACTAGCCCACACCTCATCACTGCCATTCCTGTCTCCGCACGCTGCTGCTGGCTGAGCTGACACTCGGTGAGTGTGATGCCACATCTGGGGGACCCCAGGAAGCCTGGGTTGGGAACAGGGTGGGGAGAGGGCTAGAAAGAAGAGGAGGGGCTTCCCCGTGTGCCTGTCTAACTCAGTGTCCAGCTTGAGGGGTATTCCTTGCACCCTGCCCTGGGCACTAACAGGACTGTCCTTGCAGGCACGGCCAGGGTGGAGCTCTGTGCTCAGGGCTCAGCGGACCTGGCACACCTGGACGACGGTCCCTACGAGGCGGGGGGTGAGAAGGAGCAGGACCCCCGCCTCATCCCGGTCCCTGCCAACAGCTACTTTGGTAGGGACCCCTCCCCGGCCCAGAGCTGCTCTAACCCTCTGCTCCTCTCTTTTGTCCTCCCTCTCCATGCTCCCATCCTTCTGTCTCTGTTTCTGTCTCTCACCCTGTCTCTCTCTGTCTTTCTGTCTCTGGCTGTGATCTCTCTGGTCTCTTTTTCTCTCTCTACCTCTTCTTCTTCCACCTTTTTCTGGCCTTTCTGTGGCTCTGTCTCCCTACTCTGTGGCCCCTCCTCTGGATGTCCCGTCCCTGGTGTCTGCCCCCACCCCCCACAGGGTTGCTTTTTGTGACCAACATTGATAGCTCAGACCCTGACCAGCTGGTGTATAAAACTCTGGACCCTGCTGACCGGCTCCCAGGACCAGCCGGAGACTTGGCCCTGAATAGCTACTTAGGTTTGTAAGCTCCCACCTCCTGGACTCTAGGGGCATGGCCTGGCCTCCCCTCCTTCCCCAGGGAACTTGACCTTTGGTGCCTTATAATCTCCTCCTCCCCCAACACACACCCAGGGAGGCACACATTGGGTCCAAATTGCAGAGAAGAGCCGGGTCCAGTGACCAGGCCTAAGAAGAGGAGGCCCCAAGGGGCTGTGAGCCAGGGGTCTCCAGGGAGGAAGATTCAGGTGGAGTGAGAGGGCCAGGGCTGAGGATATCCTGGGAAGGACAGTCCTGCCTTCTAGGGGGACTTTCCTTGAGGGATGGATGGTGGGCACATATTGAGGAAAGGGCTAGTGTTGTTGGTAAGTCCCTCTCCTTGTCTCATCTGCCTCCCTCTGCAGAGGAGGAGGAAACCAGGCCTGGGAGATGTTTGGGTGAAGCAGGCTCTCTCTCACTCCCCCTTGTCTCCCCCTCATCCATGTGAAGACTTCCCATTCCTGTCAGGATGAGGGAGTGGGGGGAAGAGGTGCACTGGGTGGGATTCGGGCCTGAGAGGGACCTCTAGCTCTTCTAGCTCCCTGGGTGTGGGCAGGATCAGGCCACTGTGCTCAGCCTCCTACCTGGGCTCCTGGCCTTCTCAGCCATCACCGTTCTGTCTCCTGCCCATTCCCTGAGGCTGACCTCACTGCACTTTTTATGCCAAGCTTGTCTCTGGGCCTGGTGGGTGTGGGGGGCTGCCAGGCCCTGCGGGAAGGAAGAGTCATCCAGCTGTGGTGCTGATGACTTGGGGGAACCTATCTTTTGACTCTTAACCTAGGGGAGGGGGCAGGGGATGGGGGAGCTGTGACAAACCCCAGCTTCTGGGTCTTGGGGTGAAGACTTAGGGGTAAGTCACCCTTTCCCCAGGCTTCTCTATTGACTCGGGGAAAGGTCTGGTGCGTGCAGAAGAGCTGAGCTTTGTGGCTGGGGCCCCCCGTGCCAACCACAAGGGTGCTGTGGTCATCCTGCGCAAGGACAGCGCCAGTCGCCTGGTGCCTGAGGTTATGCTGTCTGGGGAGCGCTTGACCTCCGGCTTCGGCTACTCGCTGGCTGTGGCTGACCTCAACAGTGATGGGTGAGTGGGTAGAGGGCCGTGCCACCTGAGGGAGGCTGGGTCCGGTAGCCCCATTCTGGCTGAGCCCACTCAGCCTCCTGCTGGCTCCTCTGGCCAGGGAGGACCCGTACTGAATGTTTCCCTCTCTCCATAGCTGGCCAGACCTGATAGTGGGTGCCCCCTACTTCTTTGAGCGCCAAGAAGAGCTGGGGGGTGCCGTGTATGTGTACTTGAACCAGGGGGGTCACTGGGCTGGGATCTCCCCTCTCCGGCTCTGCGGCTCCCCTGACTCCATGTTCGGGATCAGCCTGGCTGTCCTGGGGGACCTCAACCAAGATGGCTTTCCAGGTGTGACTGGGAACTGAAAGGCTCAGGGGAGGGAGGGGCCGCAGGAGGGATGGGGAAGCCCCTCAGAGGTCAGGGTGTGGTCTTCTGAGGACTCCGGGAGTGAGGGTTCCTGGGCTTATGTCTGAGCTTTACCATTTACCGGCTTTCTGACCTTGGCAAGTTACCTAACCTTTTTGCGTTAGTAATGTCTGCAGGGAGTGGCCAAGAGGATTAAAGATGATGTACGTAGAGTGCCTGGGATTTTGTAGCCTCTCAATAAAATAGAAAACATACCTGAGTGACTGGGGGAAAGTTGAGGCCTGGACCTTGTCTGCAAGGCCCCCAGCCAGGGTGACTGCCTTTTCCCTGTGCCCTGCAGATATTGCAGTGGGCGCCCCCTTTGATGGTGATGGTAAAGTCTTCATCTACCATGGGAGCAGCCTGGGGGTTGTCGCCAAACCTTCGCAGGTGAGGGGAGTCGCTGGGATGAGGGAATGGGTGTGGGTGGAATCAGCAGAGGCATTGGGGAGGCAGAGGCCTGAGGGAGTTGGGATCGAGGGAGGCTGACAGCCGGTTCTCTAGGTGCTGGAGGGTGAGGCTGTGGGCATCAAGAGCTTCGGCTACTCCCTGTCAGGCAGCTTGGATATGGATGGGAACCAATACCCTGACTTGCTGGTGGGCTCCCTGGCTGACACCGTCGTGCTCTTCAGGTGAGCCCCTCACCACCACTTCTCCCTCCCTGAGGGTGTCAGCCCCTCCCTGTGACTCTGACCCCCATCCCGGTGCCAAATCTAATGCTCAAGATTGTTTCCCAGCCTCACGTTCTCACATTTCTGGTGCCCTTGACTCCCCAATCCCAGGGCCAGACCCGTCCTCCATGTCTCCCATGAGGTCTCTATTGCTCCACGAAGCATTGACCTGGAGCAGCCCAACTGTGGTGGCGGCCACTCGGTCTGGTGAGGCGGGATGGGGTGGCACCTGGACCCTGGCAGCTTCCCCTGCCCTCCCTTTGATCCCTTTATCTCCCCAGTTTGGGGCTGGGGCTGTGACAGGATGTGACAGATGGGGTGGGGGTGGGGGCCTTGGCCCATCGGCCTCATTTGGCTCAGGAGCCACCCTCTGCCCCCGCAGCGTGGACCTAAGGGTCTGTTTCAGCTACATTGCAGTCCCCAGCAGCTACAGCCCTACTGTGGGTGAGTGCAGTCCCCGCTCTGCGGCTCGCCCTTTTGGGTTTCCCAGGGAGGGGGGGTCACTTCAAGGTCACCCTGGGAATAGGGTGAGCTGGAGCAGCTCTGCAGCTCAGTGACGACTCCTCTCCCAACATGCCACAGCCCTGGACTACGTGTTAGACGCGGACACAGACCGGAGGCTCCGGGGCCAGGTTCCCCGTGTGACCTTCCTGAGCCGTAGCCCAGATGAACCCAAGCACCAAGCCTCAGGCACCGTGTGGCTGAAGCACCAGCATGACCGAGTCTGTGGAGATGCCATGTTCCAGCTCCAGGTGGACACTGACCCCTTGGCTTCTGAGGGTCATTGTCATGGCTCCATCTCTTTTCCGTGATTCCTCTTAGCTGCTTCTTCCCGAACACACTTGTGCCTCCTTCTAAGACCTAGACACGTGGGAAGCCTGTCTTCTGAGCTCACTTTCTCCTCATCTGCTGCCCTCTCCTGTCATTTCTGCACTCCCTGGAGGAGGAGGAGGTGCAAGGGCTTCATGTTCCCCCTTCCAGCTGAATGGAGGAGGTGGCAGCTTTTATCATCACATCTGGTCCTCAAAGCCTTAAATCCTGGGTTTCTCCTGCCCCCTACCCCAGTCTTTCTCCCTCCTCCTTGCTCAGTTCTCCACCTCTCTCATTCATGTCCCTAAGCTTCTTTCCAAGTTTTAGAATTGGTCCTAGGTCTGGCTGGGGCTCAGAGCAGGGCTGAGGCCTGGGGATTGTTCCAGTGAGGAACAGCCCTTCCTCTTCCTAGGATAATGTCAAAGACAAGCTTCGGGCCATTGTAGTGACCTTGTCCTACAGTCTCCAGACCCCTCGGCTCCGGCGACAGGCTCCTGGCCAGGGGCTGCCTCCAGTGGCCCCCATCCTCAATGCCCACCAGCCCAGCACCCAGCGGGCAGAGGTGAGCATGGGTTCTGGTTTAGCCCAGGAGGAGGAGCTGGGAGGGCAGAGATCATAGTCCCTCCCCAGTGACACCCATTCGTAACTCACAGAGCCCTTTCACGTATGCTACTCCAGTAATTCCTCATATCTCTAGGTGCCCAAATGACCATGTGTTCCTAGTCAAGGGGACAGAGCTCCTCCACTCCATGTAGTCATTCAGGGGCTCAGGTTGATGGGATTCTGTAATCTTCAGATGAGGCCTTCAAGCTCTTGAAGTCACATTCATCCCGTTCAGCTGGAAGCGGGGGACATGAGGCCCCTTGCGTGGTTTTTATGGCCGGCCCAGAAGTGGTGCCCTTGACATCCCTTCCGGTTCTAAATCTGGAACTCAGTTACATGCATGTGAGCTGGGGCAGTGTGGTCCAGTTCTTGACTTGCTGTTAGTCTCTACCATGGCATGGTAGTGCTCCCATCATTTTACTGCAGAGGAGAGGACGTAGTTCAGGATCACACGCTGGTAAGCAGCAGATGAGAGTTGAGCACAGGTTGTTTAATCCTGTGATACTCTAACCCACTGTATGCCATGGTGAAGGTTTGCCCCCTGCCTTGTCCCCTAGGAATGTCCCTTATCTCATGTCTCTCCCCAGATCCACTTCCTGAAGCAAGGCTGTGGTGAAGACAAGATCTGCCAGAGCAATCTGCAGCTGGTCCGTGCCCGCTTCTGTGCCCGGGTCAGCGACACGGAATTCCAGCCTCTGCCCATGTGAGGGGGGCAGAGAGCAGGGTGGGGGTGGGAGGGCAAGAGTTCAAGGATTGAGAGAAAGCCCCCTCAGGAGGACCAGTCAGAGGGAGGGCTGAGCCTGCAGAGAGGGCAGAAGGTGGAAGAGGACCTGCTGATGACTTACAGATTGCGATGAGGGTCAGTGATGGGGCCGCGGGGGCTCCCATGGCAAGGGATAGCAATCCTTCACAGTACACTAATAATACGCAGTCTACATACATCTCATTGGTTAGTCTTCAAACCTCTGTGAGGTAGGAATTATATTAGTCTCATTTTATAGATGGAGAACTGAGGCCTAGAGAGGTTAAGTTAGTTGCCCAAGGTAAGTAATGGTGGAGCTGAGATGAGAATGGAGGTCCTCTGACTCCCAGTTGTGTGTACAGAGGCCTGAGGCTTGGATGGGTGTGATGGGGACCTGGAGTGGGAAGAGAGGCTCAGGGAGTGAAGGCAGGTACTGGGGGGAGCAGACTGGGAGGGGGAGTGGTAGGGGGAGGTGTTCTTAGCGGGAGTGGGGTCTGACTCTCCAGGGATGCGGATGGAACAACAGCCCTGTTTGCACTGAGTGGGCAGCCAGTCATTGGCCTGGAGCTGATGGTCACCAACCTGCCATCGGACCCAGCCCAGCCCCAGGCTGATGGGGATGATGCCCATGAAGCCCAGCTCCTGGTCATGCTTCCTGACTCACTGCACTACTCAGGAGTCCGGGCCCTGGACCCTGCGGTGAGGACCTGGGGGCAGGATGGGGTGGGGTCTTGAGGGGCTCCAGTAACTCAGACTGACCTTGCCTTCTCTCCCATTCCAGGAGAAGCCACTCTGCCTGTCCAACGAGAATGCCTCCCACGTTGAGTGTGAGCTGGGGAACCCCATGAAGAGAGGTGCCCAGGTTAGCACATCTGCCCTTATCCCTATGTGAGTAGCCTCTCCGTAAGCCCATAGACCACCCCTGACTCTAATCGCTTTCCACCCTTGGCCTAGGTCACCTTCTACCTCATCCTTAGCACCTCAGGGATCAGCATTGAGACCACGGAACTGGAGGTAGAGCTGCTGTTGGCCACGTAAGCCAGGCGGGGCCGGAGGGGTGAGGTGGGGGTTGTCATATTGACCTCATCTGACCCCTTGGGAGGCGCCTGTGCCTGATGCCCATACTTGCCCCTGCCCACTCACCAGGATCAGTGAGCAGGAGCTGCATCCAGTCTCTGCACGAGCCCGTGTCTTCATTGAGCTGCCACTGTCCATTGCAGGGTGAGCCTGGCCCAAGTGGGTACCTCCATTGGGGGGAAGGGGCATTGCCACTTCCAAACCTTGGCCAGGGCCTTGCCTGCACTAAGCCAGGCCCCAGACCTTCTTACCCCTGTTCTGACCTTTGCACACCAGGATGGCCACTCCCCAGCAACTCTTCTTCTCTGGCGTGGTGAGGGGCGAGAGAGCCATGCAGTCTGAGCGGGATGTGGGCAGCAAGGTCAAGTATGAGGTCACGGTAAGTGTCAGGGATGAGGCCCCTCCATGGTTGCCCTCCCTCCTTGGCACAGAGGAGAGGCTGAGCTGTGTCCCCAGGGCTGGGGCTCTTCTACTATGTGGCAGCATGCTGGTCTAGTCAGTTTGAGGCCTCTGGTCTGCATCTGGACCTTGGCTGTGGTAAGGTGTTTCTGCTGGGGCCTCACCTGACCTTTCCTGGTCATTCTGTCTGGCTGTCTCACCTGCTGGTCTGGTAGGCCATGAAAGTCCAGGGAAGCTTCTCTGCTGTAGGCCTCAGCTGGGGGATGGGAACATGGGGTGGGAGTTAATGTCTCTCCCTAGAACTCTGCCTTTGCTTGGCTGGGGCCTCCCCTCACACCTTCCAGGGACACTTCTAGGGTTCCCTGGATTTGGTGGGTGGGAAGAATGGTGCCTGGTGGGGTCTAGGATCCTGAGTATTTGTTGAAATTATGTTTCCTGAGGGCCTTCTCTTCAGCCCCTGTTCCTTCCATCTCTGTGGATTTACGATCCACTTGAAAACTGAGTTCCTTGGCTGGGCATGGTGGCTCATGCCTGTAATCACAGCACTATAGGAGGCCAAGGTGGCAGGATTGCTTGAGCCCAGGAGTTAGAGACCAGCCTGGGCAACATAGCCAGATCCCGTCTCTACGAAAAATTAAAAAAAAAAAGAAAAAAGAAAACCTGAGGTCCCTCCCCTCATACTCTCTTTTTCCCACAGGTTTCCAATCAAGGCCAGTCGCTCAAAACCCTGGGCTCTGCCTTCCTCAACATCATGTGGCCTCATGAGATTGCCAATGGGAAGTGGTTGCTGTACCCAATGCGGGTGGAGCTGGAGGGCGGGCAGGGGCCTGGGCAGAAAGGGCTTTGCTCTCCCAGGCCCAACATCCTCCACCTGGTGAGGCTTAGGTGGGGGTGGGGGTTAGATGTTGGGAGAGATGTCATGGGGAGTAAGGGTAGTGAGTGCAGTGATGGGGCAGGAGGAAGGCGATGGGGAGGAGATTCTATCTCAGGACGGCTGTGATTGGGGGGACACTCACTGAGACCCCCCTTCTGTGTCCAGGATGTGGACAGTAGGGATAGGAGGCGGCGGGAGCTGGAGCCACCTGAGCAGCAGGAGCCTGGTGAGCGGCAGGAGCCCAGCATGTCCTGGTGGCCAGTGTCCTCTGCTGAGAAGAAGAAAAACATCACCCTGGTGAGGGCAGGTGCACCTTGGTGCAGCCGGAATGGGAGTGTGGGGTGTGGGGGCACAGAGCTCCAGGGTACTGTGTGTCCAGGAAGGGTAGCCTATTGAGACACGTGATGGTCAAACGCCTGGGTGCAAGTTGACCAGATGTTCCCATCACAGTACATAGGAGGGGGTGCCCGGGAGGCAGCTACTGACACTGCAGACCTCCTTCCTGCTCAGCCCCTGAAATTGCTCACTCTAGAACAGGTCACTCCACCTGAAGCAAGTTAGTTAGCCAAGCAATTGATTCACCTTACATTTATATAAAGCATTACATTTTATAGGTGATGGGATGGGGTTAGCCCATCCTCACACTTTGAGGTCTGTTGGTCGTTCTTCTGAACTCTTATAACATAAAAAAGTCAATTTGTGTAAGGACACTTGCTCAATGTTTACAGTATTAAAAATGTTAAGTTCTTTTTTGTTGTTGTTGAGACAGAGTCTTGCTCTGTCGCCCAGGCTGGAGCGCAGTGGTGCGATCTCAGCTCACTGCAACCTCCGCCTCCCTGGTTCAAGCAATTCTCCTTCTTCAGCCTCCCGAGTAGCTGGGACTACAGGTGCATGCCATCACACCTGGCTAATTTTTGTATTTTTAGTAGAGATGGGTTTCACCATGTTGGCCAGGCTGGCTGGTCTCGATCTCCTAACCTTAAGCGATCTGCCTGCCTCAGCCTCCCAAAGTGCTGGAATTACAGTCCTGAGCCATGTGCTTGGCAAAAACACTAAATTCTAAAAGTTCTAATAATGAAGATGATAGTATATTAGATGTGATTTATTAAGTCTACCCCTTTTGAGCAGTTTTGCTTTCCCCTTTTCTGCTTGTTTTGCAGAGTTGTGTTGTTTAGGTGAAGGTATTGAGCAGATCCGCACACGCTCTGTGCCCCTCCCTGCTAGGATGGGGCTCGCAGTGACAATGTGGTGGGGACGTAGATTAGGGGAGGGTCTCTGGCCTGACTGTAAGGAGGTGGAGGTAAACCTCAGGTAGAGCCAAGAAGATCCTTTGCAGGGGAATGTTAGCAGCTGCTGCAGTCCCTGCACTGGGTCCTCAGCTCCCCTGGGAGCATGGCATGAGGCAAACTGAAGAATGTCAGGGGATGTAGGAACCTGTGTCATAGCTGTTGCTCTGTTACATGGATAGTCCTCCCTTCTCCACCTGACCAATTTCCCCTGAGAGGTCTCCCTTTTAAATGGGAACTTTGAAATAGATTCTTTTTGTTTTCATGTTGAAATGTATTTATTTATTTAAATGACAAAAATTATATTTATGTATAATATGATGCTTTGAAATATGTTTATACTGTGGAATGGCTATATTGAGCTAATTAACATATACATCATCTCACATACTTATTTTTGTGGTAAGAACACTTAAAATCTGTTCTCTTAGTGATTCTCAAGAATACACTATGTTGTAATTAACTAGAGTCCCAATGTTGTGCAATAGATCTCTTAAATAGATATCTCTTCCCTCTGTCTAACTGAAACTTTGTACCTTTTGACCACCACCTCCTCCAGCTCCCAGCCACACCCCGCCTTCACCCCAGCCCTAGGTAACAACTATTCTACTCTCTACTTCTATGAGTTCAACTTTCAGATTCCACATATAAGTGAGATAATGCAGTATTTATCTTTCTGAGTCTGGCTTACTTTGCTTAACATAATGTCTAAAGTAGATTCTTTTACAAAAAAGGCAGAAGGCCTTGCTTTCAGACAGCTTGGCTGAGGATTCTTGAATGGCTCAAAAGTGGCACAAGAAAAGATGACTCAAAGAATTCAGACACTCTCAAAGCCATTCTTCTGTATCTGGATTGTGGTGTGATGATATAACATAACTTTCAGGCAAATGGGTCAAGAGGTGGTGATTGGGCCAAATGGATTTAGGTCAGTCCTGGAAAGAACAGAGCCTGAGTCCCCTGCCCCCCCAGGAGCTCCTGAGGCAGCCTCCTCCTGCTTCAGTGAGTTTGGGTTTAGGGCAGGGGTGTGGCTGTATCGAATATGGAGCTGAGTTCAAATATTTGCTCCACCACTTATTAGCTTTGCTAGTGTTGTGACCTGAGGCAGGTCACTTGGCCTCCTTGGGCCTCCTCAGTTTCTTCCTTTGAAAAATGAGGATGATGATAACGTGCACCTTGCAGGACTGTTGCGAAGCTTAAATGAGATAAGTGCCCAACAAGTAGTAGGTGTTCAATAAATGGGACTGTCATTAGGTAACATAAGCATCACTTGGGGAAGCTACTCTGCCTGTGCTGTCAAGTAAGAGATTCCCCTCCATGCTGCCCCCTCCATGCATTTCAAAGCTGAATAGCTCAGATTTGGGGTAGGCAGCTGTTTTGGATATAAGATTAGTTTGAGAAGACTTCCTGGAGGAGGGGAGTTTGAGGTCAAGTAAGGAAAATGGGAGAGATGGCAGTCTCAGCAGGGTCAAACTGAGTGGCTTAGACCCTTGTCTGTCCTTATCCCTAGGACTGCGTCCGGGGCACGGCCAACTGTGTGGTGTTCAGCTGCCCACTCTACAGCTTTGACCGCGCGGCTGTGTTGCATGTCTGGGGCCGTCTCTGGAACAGCACCTTCCTGGAGGTGGGGATACCACTGGGGCTCTAGTCTGTTTCTTCTTCCCCAAAAGCCCCTCCAGGACTCACTTCTCCTCCTCCCTCCTCACTGTCCAAATGCAGCATCCTTTTTTTTTTTTTTTTTTTTTTGAGATGGAGTCTTCCTTTGTCCCCCAGGCTGGAGTGCAGTGGCGCGATCTCAGCTCACTGCAACCTCTGCCTCCCAGGTTCAAGAGATTCTCCTGCCTCAGCCTCCTGAGTAGCTGGGATTACAGGCACGTGCCACCACATCCGGTATTTTTGTATTTTTCATAGAGATGGGGGTTTGCCATGTTGGCCAGGTTGATCTCAAACTCCTGACCTCAGGTGATCTGCCCTCCTTGGCCTCCCAAAGTGCTGGGATTACAGGTGTGAGCCACTGTGCCCAGCCAAAATGCAGCATACTCTTAACCCAAAGCAGGCAGAAACATCCTCTGTGTTGGGCACCATTACACTGATAATTTCAGGAGGTAAGGGGAAGGGAGGGAGACATGGGGCATTTAGGAGACGGGTCTCCTTTCCTATTCCCTTAGGAGTACTCAGCTGTGAAGTCCCTGGAAGTCATTGTCCGGGCCAACATCACAGTGAAGTCCTCCATAAAGAACTTGATGCTCCGAGATGCCTCCATAGTGGTGAGCTGCAGGGCTAGGGGATGGGTGGGGAGGACTCTCTTCTTTCCTGCTCCCTCCAGCTCGTGTTCCATTGACCTCTTGCTCCATTGACCCCTTGCTCCCCAGATCCCGGTGATGGTATACTTGGACCCCATGGCTGTGGTGGCAGAAGGAGTACCCTGGTGGGTCATCCTCCTGGCTGTACTGGCTGGGCTGCTGGTGCTAGCACTGCTGGTGCTGCTCTTGTGGAAGGTGAGGCTTGGAGAGGGTGGGGCTGATGGGGGTGGACTTCCTGGTCGGGTGGGCAGCCTTTTGTACTGTGGTTCTGTCACCCACCCATACACTCATGTATTCAGCAAATCTGCACTGAACACGTACCCTGCATGTCTCAGGAACTCTATTAGTCCCTGGATGTTTCAAAGATAAATCAGATGCAGGCTCGGTGCAGTGGCTCATGCCTGGAATCCCAGCACTGTGGGAGGCCTAGGCGGGTGGATCACTTGAGGTCAGGAGTTTGAGACCAGCCTGGACAACATGGTGAAACTCCATCTCTACTAAAAATACAAAATTAGCCGGGTGTGGTGGTGTGTGCCTGTAGATCGAGCTACTTGGGAGGCTGAGGCAGGAGAATCGATTGAACTCAAAAGGTGGGGTTGCAGTGAGCCAAGATGGCACCATTGCACTCCAGCCTGGGTGACAGAGCGAGACTCCATCTCAAAAAAAAAAAAAAAAAAAAAAAATTCAGATGCAGACCTCATTAGGGATTTTATAGTCTAGTGGGGTAGGAGTGGTAAGCCTGTAGTCAAGGACAAGGCAGAAAGTGTTGAGTTGAGAAAAGGCAATGGGAGTTTAGAGGGAAACAAGCTTGAGAGGAGGTAGCACTGAAACCAGTCCTTAGAGGAAGGTTGGGTGGTAGGGTCAGGATGTAAGAATATGAGGTAGGTGGGGTCTAGCAGGACCATGGCAGGCAAAGTCATGGAGGCAGAGAAGTGTGATCTGACTTAACTAGAATGTGGCAGTGAAAACTGGAAAGGTAAGTGTGGCCAAGAAGGCCAACAAGCGTGGAGAACAGCCTCCAGGGAACTGCCCTCAGGGCGGAACTCGGAGCTTCCCCATACCAGGCTTTGCACGGAAGTATTCTTGTACACCCAGAGCTGTATACAGAATCATATTATCATCCAGGGCTCAACGTAAAAGTATGCACATGCACACGTCAGTACAGGGAATCACATACATCACCAGGGATCATATGCTGAGCCATCTGCCACATCTGGGGTTGTGTTCAGAACCATACATGTCCTTGGGGCTCTGGAGAACTGCCCCTGCCTGCACCTGCTCTTTGGGACCAATCACAGACTAAGCCACCCTTTGGCAAGTGTGAGTCATCAGTAGACCAGGCTCTGGAGTGGCATCCAAGCTGTTGGGGACCTTCCCAGTCTTAGGGGAGATTGATGCCTCTCTGAAACTGGCCCCAGGATGCTTGCTCCCTGCTTCCATGGAAGGAAGACAGAGCAGAGATAGGGGCTCCCGTCCTTCCTCAATCTTTCCCTCCTCTGCCTCCTCTGCCCTGCTTCTCCCTCGACATCCCAGTGTGGCTTCTTCCATCGGAGCAGTCAGAGCTCACCTTTTCCCACCAACTATCACCGGGCCTGTCTGGCTGTGCAGCCTTCAGCCATGGAAGTTGGGGGTCCAGGGACTGTGGGGTAACTGTTGTGTGTGTGCATGTGTATGTATGTGTGTGGGTATGTATGTGTGTGAATATAAGGAGAATTCCCAGCACTCAGGGGATCAGGAATGTTCAGGGTGAAAAATGAGATTGCATGAGAGTGATGTGAGGTGAGAGGTAATTAGAAGGGTGCAGATATAAGGGTAAGTCTACACAGCCTGAGGCGTGCACAAAGGGTTGGTGGGCTCATGGGGTGTGCATGTGGGTGTGGGGAGGTCGCATGCGTGCTTTTTTCTAGGGGCATGAGTGTGCAAGGAGATGAATGTGTAAGGAGATGCTATGCAGTCTGAGCATGTAGGAGTCTTGGGCCTCTGAGTGTGAGTGTGCAGGGGCACATTCCCACCCTGGTGTGTAAGGGCCAGCATGGTCCTGATTTAGGGTGGGGCTAGACTACTGTATTGATGGACAAGAGGGCGTTGCTGTAAGGGGCATGCTGCCCAAGGTACAAGTACACAGGGTGCATGTTTATGGGGCTTGAGAGGCATCATTCTAGAGACGCAGGGGACTAGGAAGCCATTTTCTTCCTCAGGTCTTGTTTGTGTTCTGGGGGACACTACTGGGTCTCTTAAGAAGCTAGAGTGGGTAGAAATCTTGAGTCAGGTCCTGATGCTCCACCCTCAAGGCCCTCTTTCAGGGGCCAAGGGAGATGCCCTTGGTCCTGCCTCTTGGATGCCTTCCTGGTCTCTCTCTTGCTGTGAATGAGAACCTGGGGAGCTGGCACTGATGGGAGCACCGTGGGTGTTGCCCACCGCACCAGATGCTGTTCAGCCTGTTTCCTTTCTGCCGCAGCAGGGATGGTGAGGGTGAGGAGCTGTGCCGTGCTAGGCGTCTGCTCCAGGGACCACAGCTCTTCAGGCTCCTCATGGTCCGGCCTGGTGTCCTTACAGATGGGATTCTTCAAACGGGCGAAGCACCCCGAGGCCACCGTGCCCCAGTACCATGCGGTGAAGATTCCTCGGGAAGACCGACAGCAGTTCAAGGAGGAGAAGACGGGCACCATCCTGAGGAACAACTGGGGCAGCCCCCGGCGGGAGGGCCCGGATGCACACCCCATCCTGGCTGCTGATGGGCATCCTGAGCTGGGCCCCGATGGGCATGCGGGGCCAGGCACTGCCTAGGTTCCCATGTCCCAGCCTGGCCTGTGGCTACCCTCCACCCCTTCCCCAGAGATGGCTCTTTGGGATGAAGAGGGTAGAGTGGGCTGCTGGTGTCGCATCAAGATTTGGCAGGATCGGCTTCCTCAGGGGCACAGACCTCCCCCACCCACAAGAACTCCTCCCACCCAACTTCCCCTTAGAGTGCTGTGAGATGAGAGAGGGTAAATCAGGGATAGGGCCATGGGGTAGGGTGAGAAGGGCAGGGGTGTCCTCATGCAAAGGTGGGGAGAAGGGATCCTAATCCCTTCCTCTCCCATTCACTCTGTGTAATAAGACCCCAAGGACCTGCCTCCCCAGAAGTGCCTTAGCCTAGAGGGTTGGGGAGGAGGTTGTGTCACTGACTCAGGGGCTCCTCTTCTCTAGTTTCCCCTCTCATCTGACTTTAATTTGCTGCATCAGTCTAGTGGTTTTGTGGTTTTGTCTATTTATTAAAAAATATTTGAGAACAAAACCTCTGCCTCTTAGAGTCTTGCTCCCTCATCCCCAGCGTCTCTCATTCTCCCTGGCGCCCCCAGCTCAGGATGAAGGTGGTAGGGGGAAGAGAGAGTCAGGGGGGCTTGGCAGGGATGCAAGCACCATGACTTTCGTGACCAGTTCCTAGAGACACATGGGTGTCGCCTCAGGAGGACAGCAAGGGGAGCTTTACCATGGGAACAAAGGAAAGGGCCAATGTCGGGAGGCAAACATTGGGAGACTAGTCCAGAAACTTGCAGTTAAGGATACAACAGGGTACAAATGTTTACTCCCTGTGGTCAGGGTAGAAGTAGACTTTATCACTGTCGAAGGAGGGATTGAAGTTAGAGATTGCCCTGGCAGAGGTTGGGGAGACAGGGACTAGGAGATGGGACAGGAATGGCTTTTCTCATTCTGCTAGGTCCCTCTCAGTGGAAGATACGTAGGCTGGTGGGTGACTTGTTCTAATTGGAGGCTGGGGAAGGAGCAAATGAGTGCCTTGGGGCTTGGGAAGAGTTATTTGACAGCCTTTCCCATGATGTGGGGCCCAACAGGTAGCCACTTGAAGGGAGGGGGCTGTCGTTCCATTTGGACTTCGGAGAACTGGGCATTCTCAAGATCCTTCCAGGTCTCTCTGGTGAGGCAGCAGCCGTCCCCAATGTGTTTCCAGGTGGGCTCTAAAACTTGCTGCCACATGAAGGCCCAGCTTCCATGTGGTTCCGTCACATGCTCCCAGAAAAAGAGCACACCTCCCTGGGAGGGAGGAGAGAGTTAGTGTCACTTGGCTCCATTCTGACCCTGCTCCCTATCGCGCTGATCAAGACAGTCAAACTTCTTGGTGAAATGGGAGCTGCTGGTCTGAGAGTTCATGGAGCAAACTGTTGTGCCCCTGACCTTTTCTGCATCCCCTGCTACCACCTTCAAAGTGCATGTAAAGAACCTCATAACTGTAGGGACATGGCTGGTGGGAGATCTTTAAAGGCTGACCAGAATAGCCCAGGGCAGGCAGAAGGGGAAATTGAGAAACAGGAGTGGAGGGCCCATTGTATTCTTTTTTTTTTGAGATGGAGTCTCAGTCTGTTGCCCAGGCTGGAGTACAATGGCGTGATCTCGGCTCACTGTGACCTCCACCTCCCGGGTTCAAGTGATAATCCTGCCTCAGCCTCCCAAGGAGCTGGGATTACAGGCATGAGACACTACGCCTGGCTAATTTTTGTATTTTTCAGTAGAGACAGGGTTTCACCATGTTGGCTAGGCTGGTCTCAAACTCCTGGCCTCAAGAGATCTGCTTGCCTCACCTCCCAATGTGCTGGATTACAGGCGTGAGCCACCTCGCCCAGCTGGGCTCATTGTATTCTGAGATACAGTGAGAGAGAGACTCTCTCATGAGACCCAGATGCATATACAAACCGCTTCCTGGACATCGCTGTGAACATCCCAGGGAAACCTCAGGCCCAACTCTTGACTGAAGCTGGGGTTCCTCAAGCTCCTCGCCTCACTATACTCTCCCTAGGTGATCTCAAACCTAGTAAGTCCAAAAACAGCTTTCTTCCATCTCAGTAAATGGCACTTTCATCGGCTCTCCCCTCAGTTGCTCATGCTAGAAACCTGGAAACTATCCTGAACGTTCTCTCGACAATCTGATGAATTCTACTCTACTTCCCCTACTATCTTTATCTAGAACACTCTTTTATTTTCCCCACCCTGTCACTCTGCTTAATCCCTCATATCTGATAATGATATCTGATATCTGATAATGATATCAGATATCATTATCAGATATCTGATAATGATAATCTGATAATGATAAAAAAAAATCATTTTTTATTTTTTATTTTGAGACAGGGCCTCACTCTGTGGCCCAGGCTGGAGTGTAGTGGTGTGATCATAGTTCACTATAATTAGAACTCTTGGGCTCCAGTGATCCTCCCACCTCAGCCTCCTGAGTAGCTGGGACTACAGGCATGCGCCATCACACCTGGCTAGCTTTTGTATTATTATTTTTTTTTTTGTAGAGACGGCGTCTCACTATGTTGCTTTGGCTGGTCTCGAACTCCTGGGCTCAAGTCATCCTCCTGCTTGGGCCTCCCAAGCACAGATCTCGATTTAAACTTCAGTCACTTAGGTGTCCTCCCTGCTCCCCTCCCTGTCCCACGGTGGTAGGTGATTCTCCTGTTGCTTCCACAGCACCCAATTTTTCCCTGTCGTGGCACTGGTCATGTCTCCTATTCACCAGCAGGTAGGGATGGATGGGGTGTCTAATGTGCTACTTACTACCTCAGACGCCCCATTCTGGGAGCCGAACCCTGGGGCGGCTGATGCTGCGTTTGCCTGCCTCACACCCATCTCCTTCCCACTCTGCTTACCGGCCTCAGTACTCTCTGGACCTCCTGCAGGACCTTCCTCGGGCTCTGCACAGAGCACAGCACCAGGGTGCAGACCACCACATCCATGGAGCCATCAGCCAGCTGTCTCATGTCCTCTCCAGGAGCCACCACAAACCGCTCGTACTGGAGGTGCCTGTTCTCAGCCATGCTCTTTGTCAGGAACTTCTCAAAGTGGGGATTTGGGTCTAGGCAGGTAACCCTGCAGCCCGGTGGGTAGAACTGAAAGTTGGCTCCGGTTCCGCAGCCCAGCTCCAGCAGGTCCACCTTCCCGGAGGCTCCTGTAAGCCCCTTTATCTGGCTGAAGAGCTCCCGTTTCTTGCCCTCCATCTTGCGGTTGCTCTTGGCAGTCAGCACAGCCATCAGGTAGGGGAAGTAGGTTTTGCACAGGGGCTGCCAGCAGCCCAGCAGAGCCATGAGGTGCAGGGGCAGGGTAAGAAGCAGCACCAACAGCTGCAGGAGTGGGACCAGGACGTCCATGGCAGACCAGCTCTGAGCTGTGCTTCCGCTGGGGCACTGGCTTTTTCCCTGCTCAGCCCCTGCAGGCACTGGCGTCCCCTCCCGCTGTGATAGGACTTTGCTCCTTGTCTCCTACTTGACAATTTCCTATTTGCCAGGGTTGAGTGGGTGTATGGAATTCCTCCAGAGGGCGCAGGTCCCACAGCCCCACAGGCTCTTCAATGACTTTTATGCGGGCGGAGGGACAGATGGTACCCATGTTCCTGGGTTCTGGGGCACTGCGCCCAGCTGAAGGGGGGCAGGGATTGCTGAGTCATCTCAGAGGGAGTGGGAGGGGGTGAGGGGATAAATTGCAGATGACAGACTCATGGCGGGAGAGGTGGGGGGCGCTGGCAGGGCGTTGGGGGTGGGTAGTAGGGAATGCTGGGGACAGAGTTGACTCATGGGACATGTCCTGGCCTCATTCCGTCCTCAGGTTCGGCACTTCAGAGGGGCCATAGGAAAGGAAGGGTGCTCTTGGCAGAGGAAAAAGTAGGTGTACAGGACAGAGACAGCATGCCCTCTCCTGGAAAGGGTGAGAAGTTTAGTTTTGTGGAGAATGGGGTGAGTTGGAGAAATAGGGGGAAGGGAGGTCAGAGAGTAGCCACTTCTTAGAGATCCTTCCCTTCCTCCCTCCCTCCCTTCCTCCCTTCTTTCCTTCTTTCCTTTTTTTGAGACAGGGTCTCTGAAGCCCAGGCTGGGGTGCAGTGGCGGCAGTCTCGGCTCACGGCAACCTCAATCTCCCTAGGCTCAAGTGATCCTCCCACATCAGCCTCCGAGTTTCTGGGACTACAAGTGCACACCAGCGAGCCCGGCTTTTTTTTTTTTTTTTCCTGTTTTTTTAGAGACAGGGTTTCACCCTGTTGCCCAGGTTGGTCTTGAACTTCTGGGCTCAGGTGATTCATCTACCTCGACCTCCCAAAGTGCTGGGATTACAGTTGTGAGCCACTGGACCGGGCTGAGAAGAATTCTTTTTACAAAGCATTATTAAACAATTTTTTTTTGGAAGAGGCAGTACATTTACTCGGTACAAAATTAAAAAGATACTAAAGAGATTACAGGGGAAATTCTCTCCTCTACTCCTGTGTCCCAACCACTCAGATCTCCTCTCTGGAGGCACTAAATGCCAATTTCTTGTGAATCCTTCCAGAGATGACCTGTGAATGAGCAGGGAGCACACACACCACGTGTTTAGATCCATGTACATATAATATATGTATCCATATTCCCTTTTCTTTTACAAATGGTAGTATATTGTACACAGTCTTGTATACCTTGCTTCCCTCCCCTTCTTAACAATGTATTGGATTTAGTAGATAGTAGCAAATGGTTTTCCAAAGTGATTGTACCCATTTACATCAGCAATATTTGGTTTTATGTGTCTTTTATGTGTTCATATTATTATTGATGAATAGATTCCTATTTTATTCACTGATTTGTAACCTAATACCCTATTTATTTATTTACAGTTTCTTTGAAGTATAATATATATAAGAAGATTTACATACTTACAGTATATAATTAGATTAGTTTTGACACAGTATATACCTGGGAAACCATTACCACAGTCGAGATAATGAACATGTCTATGTGTTAGGCTTTTGCATTGCTGTAAAGAAATATCTAAGGCTGGTTAATTTATAAAGAAAAAAAGTTTACTTGGTTCATAGTTCTGCAGGCTGTGCAGGAAGCATGGCACCAGCATCTGCTTGGCCTCTGGTGAGGATCTCCGGGAGCTTACAATCATGGTGGAAGATGAAGGGGAGCAGTGTATCACATGGCGAGAGAGTGAGCAAGAGAGACCTTGTGTGAACTACCAGAGCGAGAACTTGCTCATCACCAAGGGGATGGCACTGAGCCACTGATGAGGGATGGGACCTCACGAGCCAAACATCTCCCACCAGGCCCCGCCTCTGAAATTGAGGATTACATTTCAGCATGAGATTTGGAGGGAACAAACATCCAAACTATATCAGTTTCCTTGTGCCTCTTTGTAATCCATTCTCCCCTCTTTCATCCCCATCTTCAGATAACCCACTGATCTGCTCTCTGTCAGTACAGATTAATCT